CCACAGGGTATAGAGATGCATGTTTCATTGTTACCTCTAACCTTCCCAGTATGTCCACCTCCAGCTTTTACAAGAAATATTGTTAATAATTAAGTAAAACAAGTCCTCCAGAGCAAGAGGATGACCTTGAGTGTGTCCTACCTGAATTGAGAGACCATCTCAAGAAGAGATTTGACACGCTAAACAGTAATGACCGAAGACCAGGCAAGATGAGCGTGACGCCACGTGTGAAGGACATTTAAAAAGACAGGAAAGAGAGGCCAGACTCACAGATGTCAGAAGACACTCTGAAATTTTCTCTTGAACATGCAGAAACAAAAGCAAACAGAACGATAAAGCGAAAGAGCTCAGCAGGAGATTTGAAAGAGAAGCTTGAGAAGACAAAGTATTAAAGTGAACTGTGTAAAGATCTGGAGTTGGAAAAGCAAAAGAGAAGAATAACCTTGGCATCCTCCCACTAAAAAACCTGAGCAGCTAATCCAAGTTCAAGGTGCAGTAGTGAAGGATTCTGGGGTAAAATACTGCAGCACACTGTGAGCATTTAAAAAGAGAGTGACACACAGACAAAGCAGAGCAGACAGAGACACCAAGTCGTGGTCAGGGTCTACCTGCTTCACAAGGGAGCAAGCACGTGATCAAGAGCTGAGGGCAGTGGGGGAGGAGACAGGCTGCACAGAAGGCCCTGAGAACTGCTGGAATACCAGCGGACACGCTTCAGCGACCGGACACAGTGCCGGGGAGTGGGGCCACAGGCACCTGGGCCGGGAAATGAAAAGACAGGCCACTGAAGAGAAGAGTCCACATTTGTGCCCATTCCCCAAAGAGGAAATCCCAAAGAATGGGAATTATCAAACACGAGCATTAACATCAGAGGCCAGAAACATGGTGCTGAAAAAGGGAGGCAGTCAAGCCCGAGAAGAACAAACAAAGGGGCAGCATTTGCCAGAGACGGAGCTCCAAAGGCAGGCAGAGACAGGACAGGATTAACAGAAATGAGGATCACGGAAGGGAGGAGGGAGAGTGCGGTTACATCGCGAGGATTGTAATGACCGCCATCAAACACCACGAGCACCATGGTTCCACAGAAAGCCAATTTGCTTTGCAAAATTTCACTCCAGTGACAATTTAAAATTGTTAAGAATTTGATGACAATTAAAACACTGTTGAAGCATGAATTAAACCAGAAAGTGCCAGGAATGGAAGCCAGATAGAGGAGAGGCTATGTGAGCACTCTCACGGCTGGTAGTGGATGGATCTTGGCGGAAAGCAGAGAATACCAGAAAAATGTTCATGCACGCTTCACGGATTACATGAAGGCATCTGACTATGTGATCACAGCCAATCATGGGGAGGGACTGGATTTGCAGAACACTCTACTGTGCTTGTTTGAAATCTGTACATAGACCAAGAGGCAGTTAGCTGCCTGAAGAAAAGCAAGGGTCACTGTGTGGGGTCAAGTCAGGACACATGAGGGTCAGCGCTGTCTCCTCTCAGCATTCTTGTTTAATCTGTGTGGTGAGCAAATGACAGCAGCAGTGCCCACGTGAAGGACTCAGCTCAGAACTAGACCTTAACAGGTTGGGACATGCAGGTGGTATCACCGAGCTTGCTGAGAGCGGGGAATGTGCCTCTGTCACTCAGGACACGCCCTCGGGACGGCTCAGGGACCAGCAGGCTCCCCTTGGAGCTGGCCGGCAGCACGGGGAGGAGGGGACACTGGCAGTGATCAGCGCATCCTCCTCGGGCCCACAGTGTCCACAGAGGCAGAGTCAAGAAAGAAAATATTCCCTAGGAAATTTTGCTGCCAAAGTTTTAACAGTGCCAAGTGTTAAAAGCTCACTCTGAAGGCCCACGGGGCGCAGACTCAAGCCTTGATGTTCCCCGTTACATCCGATGCACGCGCTCGCCAGCAAACCAGGAAGGCGGTCAATGAAGAGGTGATGCTTCCCAACCGTGGCACTGGCAGAGATGGCACATACCACGGACAGCCGGACAAATGACCAAATCCGCCTTGGAGGAAAGGAAGAGTGCTCTTCAGAAGCAAAGATGGTGGGACTTACATTTCTGGGGCATGTTATCAGGAGGGGCCTCTGGAGAAGGGTGTCGTGTTTGGAAGTGTGGAGGGTTTGCAAGAAGGAGCTCACAGAGCTGAGTGACCGGTGGCTGTGAGGATGGAGGCGCGCGCGACGACGTCCACCCCCTTGCACGGATGGTCTGTGAGTTGGAACGGACTCCATGCCACCTTCTGACGACAGTGGCCACTGTCTTCTGCTACCCTGGTTTACAGAGTGTATTCTCTGCCACATCAGGGGCTGTGAACGTGGGCTCTCATGCTTGGTCGACACGAACGTGATTATGAAAGTGTGAGCCGCAAAGGCCTCTGGGACTCCTGCTCCTGGAAGGCGCCACAGTGGGGACAGGCCAGGTCACCGACGCAGAGGAAGCCTCCCCCACAAAGTGCAGCTTGACTCACAGAGAATGGTTTTCCCTTCTTCCCAGCAGCCTTTCAGTCTGGCCGCAGCAACATGCAGGTGACAGGTGACTTAGCATTTGTCACAATCAGGATAAATGCTGCTCTGGCAGAGGGCCTTGGACGGGATGTGAGGGACAGGAGGACTCTCTCAGTTGTCGGCTGCTCTCCTGAGCTTGGGGAGCCCGGGGCCTTTCGAGGCTTCGTTCACCGAGGTGGCCCTGACCCAAGTCAGGGTGTTTTCATGTGCTTCACGTGCACGTTAGAGCTGGACAGTGAACGAGGGAGATCAAAGACTGATCCTGTGGACCGTGGTGGTGTTAGACGCCCTGAGGGCGACTCAGAGGGTCCTGCGCCCTTCCTGCCCATCTCCTCATCTCACCTGATACACAGAGCTCGCTGCGGCAGCCACGTCAATCCACCCTGTGGAGGTCTTGCTCTCTTTGACCTTTTCCAAAGACTAGTGTCTCCTAACTACATAGCCAAAACATGAGACACAGAGCAAAAGAACAAACCGATCCGTCCGGGAAGAAGGCCAGCCAGGGCGCTCTAGGAGCAAGGCCGAGGAGACCGTGCCTCACGTGCTCTGGGCACGTGTGAGTCCAGGCCCTGGGGGAGGACATCATGTCCGGCAAAGCAGAGGGTCGGTGAAGGACAGGAAGCCCCTCGGTGGGATGGACTGAGGGAGCCGCAGGTGTAAGCTCACAGAGATCATGAGAACGGTGCAGAATCAGGCGGGGCTTCCTCCCGGTGTGAGTGGGGTCGCCAGGAGTCACAGGTGCCTCGTAGCCCCTGAACCACCGCCCTTCTCCAGGCTTCGGAGGTGTTTAGTGCCTGCTCCCACCGGGCCTGCCAGCTGGAGCCCACCCCTGTGAACACAGGCTCGAGGCTCCCAGGACCTGGCTCTTCGAGGGTTCTCTGCCTCTCTGGCCGCAGGGACGCCTGTGCTCCAGAAGCCAAGGTGCCAGAAGCCAACCCGTTCTGTGCGCCTGTGAAGGACACTAAGGCCATGCGTGGTGCTGCCCTCGGTCCTGAGCCGATACGCTGGCCTCTCGAGGACACAGGACAGGGTGGACATTAGAGGCGCCAGAGCACACTGAGTACGGTCTCGGGAGCCGTTGTTCTACAGCCTTCATGCCCAGCTCATCTGAAGACACAGCCACTGTCTCTCCCCGTCCAATGAAATCAAGGGTTAAACAGACCGAAATGCAAGGAACCCATTAGTCTAAAGGACTCAGAGCAACACCCAGAGCTTACAGACCAGCAGACGGACGTCATCTCACACAAGGACGTGCTGGCCGGAAGGGTCGGGCCTTGGAAGAAGGCATCACGCTGAGAGAGGGGGAGGGCCAGAGAAAAGAAGACCCCCAGTGGGATGAATGGACGCCGTGACCACCATTGTGGGCTGGCGCAGCGCAGGACTGGACGCTGAAGGACAGGGCGAGGTTCAGACCTGTCGTCTGCAGGCTCGCGACAAGTCATAAACGACTCGGAGACACCAGACTGCAGCATTAGTCAAAACGATTGAACCGACCAGTCTGTTTCTGGAAGTCTAGTTTGGCGGCAGGAGTAGCATCCACTTCCTAAACAATACGCCTCTGGAAACCCTGTGAGTCGATGGTTGTGGAGGGGCTCAACCACAGGCAAAGTTTTAGGTAATGCTGGGTCTCAGCACCCTTTGTGCCCTGCATGCAACTCCTCTTGGGCTAGACAAGCTATCCTGTACTGGCCGGTCCTCTGAGAGTGGGGGTATCCTCCCTGGGGTGCATGGCCCAAGTTCGTACCAAGGTTAAGGGGATTGCCAAAACTCCAGCCTGGACTCCAGATCCAGGCCTGGACTTCAGAACAGAGTGAGGCTTTGCCTTGAAGCCGCCCCACTGCCACACAGACCAGGGCCTTCCGTTTCAGACTCTCATGCTGACTGATGGACCAGCGGCCTCCACAGCCCTGAGCCCAGAACTGGAGGGTCCCAGCTCCCACTGCTGACCGCTCCGAATAAATAACGAGGACATGAAGGCTTCTGATGCACGACCTGCTGCCTTCAGAGAACTGGGGTACGTTAAGGCTTTTTATCCACATTGTCAGCACCATATTCACGCATGCTTTTCCATATAAAAACACAAAAGAAAACAAATCTTCTTAGATCTAAGCCCTTTGGTTCACTTTAGGGACTTGACAGGATTCGATGCAGACCCTGCAAAGCACAGGTGCCCCTGGACCGGGGAGCAAGGCCAGGTGGACGTCTTGCGGGGGAACCAGCCGCTGTCTCCCCAGCACGCTTCAGAGGGGCCTGGTCATTCCAGAATTGAGTGGAAGGTCAATTCCATTGCACACGGCCGTGCTGTACACCACGAGCAGTGAGGAAATGCTGGAGCACAGTGTCAAGTCCACGTCCCAGAAAACCCACAGCCGAGGTCACCAACCAGCAGAGTGCCCCCCCCCCCCGCTCAGATGACGCTGGGCCGCCAGTGTCCCCTCAGGCCTTGGGCATCTGGGCGGTGAAGAGCACCTGTGACCTCCACTCCCTTACCCAGGATGATGCCGTTGGGCTCCTCTGGGGGCTGCCACACAATCCGCACCGACGTCAGTCTCACTTCTGGGAAGACGAGCCTCACGGGGGGGCCTGGGGCTGATGCAAAACAAAGCGCCTCCGTCATCAAAGGCCATCGCAGTGCTGTGTGGGGGCCTCGCGGGCTCGTGGGCCAGCTCAGCTCCCACCGTCCACCCTGCCGTCCTCTATCCACTTCCTGTCCACCATCCTATATGCTACAGAAACTGCCACCTGCCCGCCACAGCCTGGCAATGGCCCATCACACCACCTCCTCACCTCCATTTCTGGATTATAAACCGTCCCTAGCTCCCCACCATCGACCGTGCCATCTAACACGCTGCCCGCCTGCCATCTACCATCCCACCTACTGCATTCCGATTATGAGACGTCCACCACCTAGTTACCATCTACCCCGCCACGTGCCCGCTAGTTACCGACCATCTACTATGCTGTCGACCACACCACCTACCGACCACCCCAGCTGCCCGTCGTCTCCACCACACCGCCCACGTACCACACACTGCACACTCTGCAGACCTCTACTCCCCTCTGCAGCCTGGCTTCCTCCCACCCACCAGGGCCTGTATCATAACGCCTCCCTAACATTCACCATCTATGGTCGACCTACCCACTACCTGTCTCAGCTACCGCTGGTGACACTCTGTATTGGTGGAACACTCTAAATTTGAGGCAAATGACTTCTGCAATCTCAAGGACTCAAGGGGCTCTGCGTGACTCCCACTGATCTGAATCGACGCCTTATGAATCCTGCCCGTCTGATTTCCAATTGAAAGAAGCACTCCTCCAGAACTATGCGGAACCAGCTTGAGAAATTGCCTGAAAACAGTATACTGGTTGCATGACTCCACACAGACTCTGTCAAGTTGGACTTTAAGAGCCTGTTCTGAGCTCTGATTCTCTCGCTGAATTAGACACCTGCAAAGCAGATGGCAGAGAAGAAGGCAGGCCTTCAAGTCCTCCTTTCTAAGTGGGGGCTACAGTTACTGAGAAGGTATCACTCTCTGTTCAATGGCTTTTCCCTTCTGCATCCCACCCCGTTCCTGTAGTGCCATGAAACACTGAGAGCTGATGATCACCAGCCGGTGGTAACTGTGGCCCAGCCACTAACCCAACTGCTGTTGGCCACTCCCACCTCTCAGAGGTCACAGAAGCCCTGGCTGCACGCAAGGGGAGACTTGGTCTCACGCACCGAGGGCATGCTAGCGGCAGGGGCTGCTCCTTGGAAAAAGACATCACGCTGGAAAGGTGGAGGGGCAGTGGTCACAGGGAGACCCTCAGTGAAATGGCGTTAGACAGTGTGTGGACAGTGGATGCTGGCACAGAAGAGACCGGGAGTGGGCACAGGATGGCACAGGGTGCAGGTCTGTTGTATGAAGGGCCACTCGGAGTCAGGCCGACTCAACGGCATTGTTAGCGGTAAATCTTATGGCCATGCCTTTTTCCCATGACCCCATGCCTTTTATTTATTTTTTTTGGGGGGGAGGTTGGCAGTCCAAAGCTTAATCCACTGTGCCACCTTAGTGCCCTTGGTGGATGGATACACATGCTCTGGTCATTCTAAAAACTACGGGATATTCTGGAGCCAGTCAATAGTAGGGTCGAAGCCCTCGTACAAGATATTTGCTCAAATGGTTAGATAAATAGTGCTGGGTGCTTGGTATCAGTGTCCTTGTTGGAACTCAAGGGCAGACGGACTACCAGGTCTGAAGAAGTGGTCACTCACTGGTCAATACAAACAAAACGTCACAGGTCTCAAGGACTGCTGAAGTCAGACGTCTCTAGCTACTGCTCGGAGAAGAATCTGAATTTCAGGTGTGTGATGGCATCGCTGCTTGGGTTACATAAGGGTGAGAAGGAAGTCCAGCTGTAGGCAGTGCAGTCTGCAGACACACCGTCCCTCCCTGGCAATGACCTTCTCTTGTCTGTAACCTTGCGGTTGACCATCTGACTGCCACAAAAGTCCAAGGTTCTAATCCACCAGCCACTGCAGAGACAATCTGCTCCTGTGAAGGTCACCCACACACCTGCCGCTCAATTCAGCTTGCCGAGACCCTGTTCATTTCTGAGAGTGGAAAACACTTGTGTTTTGTTTCCCTCAATCGGAAGGGGACAAAAGACTTGAAAACAGACAGCAATCTGAGAGGCCTGGTCTGGAAGGGGAGCCCACTGGCAGAGGTGAGGGGATCTGGGGAGGAGGGGAGGGGCAGACAGGGAGTAGGGAGTGGAGGAGGGACAAAGGGGGCCAGAGAGGAGGAGGAGGAGGGCTGAGCCAGGCAACAGGGCCCTACCATCATCCTTGGTGCGCTCCAGCACCAGCGGGGAGCTGGGCACCCCATTGCCGATGCGCGTGAAGGCCAGCACCTGCAGCTCGTAGACCACGAACTTGCGCAGACCCCCGAGCAGTGCCGACTGTGTGTGGTTCCCACGCACCACGTGACTCTGGGGCTCGGGGTCCAGGTCCTTGGCCCGGAACAGGACCTGCAGCACCAGCACATGAAAGGGAGGTTAGACTGGGGCTGAATGAGAGTGGGGTCCTGTGGGAGAGGGCTGGGCTCCCACTATGATTCCTGCCCCAGACACGGGGGCGATGGAGGGGACACCTGCCAGAGCCGATGAATCTCCACCTCCCTGCTGCATCGGTCTCCTCTATGTGACGGGTGAGGGGGTGCTGCGTGCAACACTATAGTGAGATGTGCAACACTGAGGTGCTGTGTGCAACCTGTAGCACTGTGCACAACTCCACTGAGGTGCTGTGTGTAACACTTGGTGCTGTGTGCAACACTGAGGAGCTGTGTGCACCATGTGGCACTGCGTGCAAAACTGAGGCGCTGTGTGCAACTCGTAGTGTGCAACACTGTAGTACTGTGTGCAAAACTGAAGTGCTGTGTGCAACCCGTGGCGCTGTGTGCAAAACTGAGGTGCTGTGTGCAACCCGTGGCACTGTGTGCAAAACTGAGGTACTGTGTGCAACCCATGGCGCTGTGTGCAAAACTGAGGTGCTGTGTGCAACACTGTAGTACTGTGTGCAAAACTGAAGTGCTGTGTGCAACACTGTAGTACTGTGTGCAAAATTGAAGTGCTGTGTGCAACACTGAGGTACTGTGTGCAAAACTGAAGTGCTGTGTGCAACACTGAGGTACTGTGTGCAACCCGTGGCGCTGTGTGCAACACTGTGGTACTGTGTGCAAAACGGAAGTGCTGTGTGCAACACTGTAGTACTGTGTGCAAAACGGAAGTGCTGTGTGCAACCCGTGGCGCTGTGTGCAAAACTGAGGTACTGTGTGCAACCCGTGGCACTGTGTGCAACTCGTGGTGTGTAACACTGTAGTACTGTGTGCAAAACAGAAGTGCTGTGTGCAAAACTGGTGCTGTGTGCAAAACTGAGGTGCTGTGTGCAACCCATGGCACTGCGTGCAACTCGTGGTGTGCAACACTATAGTACTGTGTGCAACACTGAGGTGCTGTGTGCACACTGGTGTGTCCACAAGCTCACGACACTTCCCTTTGCTGTTCTTTGCAGAGACTGTGGTTCGTGTTGATTTTTATAAATGAAGGTTTGTGGCAACTCTGTGCAAACAAGTCGATCAGCAGCGCCATTTTTCCAACAGCATGTGCAGCAAGCAAAGATGTCACTTTGGGGACTAAGAGGCACCTGCCCTATCCTCAGCATTTCAGTCACTCTATCTGCACGTGACAGCTGGGCGGCAAGGATGCTGAGAAGAGCTGCTCCCCGAGTGACGGTGCTGGGGAGGCTGGAGCGCCCCACGGCCCGCCACGCTGTAAGAAGGAACAAACTTCCAGGAAGAACAGCCAGATTGAGGTTTGAAAGCGAGGAGGGAGAGACAGACTGAGCAGTGATGGGGGAGGATCTCCCTGCAGGAGAAGGACATCCCGAGAGGGTGAGAGATGGAGAAGACGACCCCAGGGAGACGGGCTGGCACTGTGGCTGCCACACGGCCTAACAGTCACCGTGAGGCAGGAGTGGGTCGGGTGGTTCACGGGCGCTGTGAGTGGGCGTGGATTCAGTGACACCTCACAACAACGAGGACCGTACACACCACACAACAGGTGGCTGCTGTGATGAGTTAAGGGGTGACGAGCCCACAGGCTTGGGGATGGCATCGCAGCAGCCGGCCCCTGGCTCCTCGGTACCTTGTAGCCCAAGATGAGCCCGTTCTGGTCCGGTTCGGGCACAGACGCCCATGTCAACAGGATCTGGGTGGAGCTGACTGCCTCGGCCGTCACATTTCCAGGAGCAGCGGAAGGAACTGCAAAGACCAACAGACAAGTGGACTGATAGCCCCTGACGGGAGGCTCTGGTACAAATGATCTGTCGTGCCCCGACTCGTCAAGCTGTCTGAAACACCAGTGTGTTCAGAGACTGTTGAGGTCAGATCAAACCTGCAGGAGCACAGCACGGGTGAAAACCTGCTCTTCTTAACAACCAAGCCACAGACCTGGGACGTTCAGGGGCTCCGTCCACCAAGAAGATGGGCCTGGTCTGGTCTCCAGCTGCAGCCTTTGATCTCAAACGATCTCTCCTCACAGACAGAGGGCTATTCTCTGCCATCCCTAAATCCTCAGCGCCGGGGTGGGGGCAAGCAAAGCCAGGGAAGAGGGGTGATAGGATTAACTCAAAGGGGAAGAGGAAACTTCCTGGTCCATGTGGGCGCCCTGTGCTGAGGTCCGCGAGTGGCACGGATACTTTATACTTGGTTGGTCCAGTAGTAAGGAGCTACAGTGCCAGCATGAAGGCTCACGGTTCTAATCCCCCTGATCCCCCAGCTGCCTCACAGGAGGAAGACGGGCAATCCCCACCCATGCGATTACTGCCTCTGAAAACCCCCAGGACAGTCACTTATGAGTCACTTCCAACTCAACGGCAAACAAACATGTACAACACAACTAATGTAAAGGCCGACAGTCCAAACCCATAGAGTGGTCCTGTGGAAGAAAGTCCTGGCAATCTGCTGCTGAAAAGATGACAGGCCAGAACACTCATGGAGTACAGTTCTGCCCTACAACGCCCTACAACGCACGGGTTCCCGTGAGTCAAAACTGACTCAGTGGTTTGCTTGGGTCCCTCTGCTGGGCTTTTCAGACGTAATAATATAAAAGGGGAAAGAAATTACTACTCTTTTCTACAATAAGAAAATGAAGGCTCAAGAAAATGTTAATATACAACAGTCTAGAGAAGAATCTTGATCAAAAGAGGGAAATTTGTGCAATAGAATTTTAAATTTTGCACTGCCAGGCCAAAGGCAGGCAGTTTGAATCCTGTGCAATTTACAGGCGCTGCAAAACCACTAGACAGTCAGCTCTGAGTCATTCCCACTCAACGGAACATCACAACAACACGACCTTCTGGAGCCATAGAGCCGGGATGGACCTGGAGACCACTGCGGAGATAATCTTTACAAACCTTGAGTCTTGAACTGAACACTAGTTTTGCTTCACTGGTAGAGAATACCCTCTCTGAGTGGGTGCGGCCTTGAGAACTGTGTAGAATGACATTAAGAGTGGGTCATCTCCAGTGGGTTGGAACGATCAACGCAGACCCAATGGATCGGGCCTGGGACACTAACGAAATGTCAGCATTTCCAACACCCCAATTCTGCAGCAGAAAGTGAGGCTGTGAGCTTCTGTGAGCATTTCAGCCTCGGGAACCCGGTGGGGCAGCCTGCTCTGTCCGTTCAGGCTTTCCGTGAGCAGGGAGTTGACATCCCCTCAGTCAGCTCTGAGACCAGCACAGAGGGGGGCTCGCTGACAAAGCGCACACGTTCTGAGGAATGCACAGCCGTGAGTGGACGCTGTGTGGCAGGACTGCCCGCTGGACCTGGTGGTCCTGCTGCAGGCACAAGTCAGTGAGAAGCCAACGGACGGCTCAGGGGGCATTTCAGCTCCTGACCCATCACCTTGGGCCCCAAGATGCTGGAAGTCACCCTCCATCTGCACTGTGTGGTCCCATCCAGGCCACAGGCAAGTGTGACCCACGTGCAGAACAAAGCCTACTGCCTGACTCAACGGCACACAGCCGACCTCCAAGGGCCTCTTGAAAATGCCACAGAGACAGCACTCTGCGGCCGAAGCGCACTTGGCCATGGGGTCTCCAGTGTCTTCATAAGTATTTGAAAAGCAGACAGTGAATAAGGAACCCCCAGGACTGATGCGCTTGAATTGGGGTGTTGGCAGAGAACACTGAGTCCACTGCGGGCTGTCTGACAAATGGCCGCTTGGAAAGCAGTCTTCCCTTGGAGGAAGCGCTGCCGGTGTGCTGGTCAGAGGGCAGGATGGCACAGTCTCAGGGACGTCTGACACACGGTCAGGGGGCTCAGCCCAGAGAGAAGGGCTGCGTGATTGCAAAAGTGGAGGGGCAGCGAGAGAGGAAGACCTGCGGGAGACAGACTGACCCAGTGGCCATAACAGGGACAAGCAGTACAGCGATGAGGACGGCTGCTGGGGTCACGCCCCACACCCACGGGCTGCAGCTGTTTGACAGCAGTGAGCAAGGCCAAGTGCACGCTCACTCTGAGTGCCAACCTGGTACCGGATCATCGGGGGACCAGAAGGGAGCCGTCGAGACAAGAACACACACGCACACTATTCATCCGCAATTCTACGATTCAGCTGGCTGTTCCCGCTTACTCAGAAGATGAGATTCCCAAATACGAATAAAAACTCTCTTATGAAGAGGCTCATTGCCATAGCAACACAGCCGGCCCATTTCTCAAATCCTCCCTGCTTCCTGGGGTAAATCTTTGAAACTCTAAGTGCCCAATTCCCACTCCAGATTGACAGATAATAGCTGATTTTCTCTAAGAGGTGGTAACGTGGGCATCTATTTGCTGTGGGAAGGAGCACAGTGGCGCAGCGGCTAAATGCTCAGCTGTCAGCGGAAGGTCTGCAGTCAGAACCCACCAGCCCCGCTGCGGAGGAGACTGGAGACCGACCCGGAGCCGCAAGGTGTTTCCAGAGACCCGCACAGCCCCGCACAGCCGCGCACAGCCGCGCACAGCCGCGCACAGCCGCGCACAGCCCCGCACAGCCGCGCACAGCCCCGCACAGCCGCAGGGGCCTCAGCTCTGCCCTGCAGGCTCAGGTCACCACAGACAGGGGGCAGGGAGTCTGGGTCTTAGGTTGGGTTTTTTTCCTTCTCTCAGACATCCTGCTCCCCATCCTGTGATCTCTTGGTTTTTTGAGGCCTTTGTTTATGGAACCTCACAAATAAAACGGTGTTCAGTTTTTCACAAATGGAAGACGTGTGGGACTCCACGCCAAGCACTGGTCCACTGGTCCTGTCTCCCTCACAGCACTGGCTTACTTTGGGTTTCTTTGTCACTTTAGATGATTCTCACAATATTTAAACATTTCTTTTTCTCCACACAAGCAACTGTAGTAAAGTGTGAACAGAGCTTTTCTACGTGCTGGGTAACCAGACATCCACTTACAGAGACATAGCTTTATTCCATTTGTCTTGACCGGACGTTCCCGAGGTGTTTTCCTCGAGAACTTCATCAGCTCAGGCACTTCTGTAGCTCTTCTACGTGCTGGGAAACCAGACGTCCACGTTAGAGGCACTCGCTTTATTCCATTTGGCTTGACCGGACACTCCCGAGGTGTACGTACCTGTGAGGCCAAGGCCTTCCAGCGGCTCTGCAACTCCTCAGCCACTGTCTCCTTCCTCTGTCCTTCTTGAGTCCCGTTAGATGCATGCTGGCCCCATTCTCTCGCTGTGTCTTTGACTCTAGTCCTCTTATCGCCTCCTCTGTGTCATCCTACTGTGTGCTGGTTCGCTCTCTTGCTGTGTTTTTGAGTCTAGTCCTCATATCTGTCATCCTACTGTGTGCTGGTTCGCTCTCTTGCTGTGTCTTTGACGCTACCCCTCCTCCCTCCCATCTCTGTGTCATCGTGCTGGGTTCTGAGTCGCTCACTCATGTGTCCCCTCCAGTTTTAGCAGCCCTCTCTTAGGCAGTCTCTAAAGAGACTCTTTAGAAGCTCTGGTGGCCTAGTGGTAAGACACTATGTTGCAATCCTGAAGGCACACAGTTCGAATCCATGTCTTGCTCCATAGGAGAAAGATGAGAAATCTCCTCCCATGCAATTTACTCCTCTGGAAACCTACTGGAGGGTCGGCTATGGTCAGTGTGACTTGACAATATACAACAACAAATCACTTTTAACCCCAATCATAGAATTTTCCTTTTAATTACATATTTAGTTCTTTTCTTTTAAAAAAAACAAAACCAAACATAAAAAAACTATCTTCTTAAAACAGTATCTAATTTTAAAAATTAAATGAGTTTTTTATTATTAAATGAGTTTTTAATAACTATTTCCTCATACGAAGTTTTCCCTGTGATTTGGGCTCCGGTTTACAGAGCGGATGGTACTCCACCCAAGCGTACACACGTGCTCAGGAGAGGACTGCGGTCCCGGCCACTCTCCGCTCCGTCCGTGGGCCTCCGCTCACACCTCCATCTCTGCCTGCGGATCTCCTGAGCGCTATCCTGGACAAACGCTGCCTTTGGGATCCTGTGTGGCTGCATGTTTGAAGGGCCGAGCGGCTCCCTGATTAAGTGATGGTCAGCACGCTTGTTGCATATTCTCTGTCTGTGTTTTAAAGCAGGAGCATTCTGGTCCCTAGCAAGTACGCTCTGATAAAACACCATCTCTGACGGTTCGATTCCCCCGTGGCTCCGTGGGAGGAAGACAGGCAGTGTCTTCCCACTAAGATTTACAACCTCAGAGACCCGATGGAGGGGCTCCCTGAGGTGGAGCCAACTCAAGGGCAGTCACTTCCTGTTGTTCGAGTATCATCCTGGGGTGCTCAAACACAGCGGTGTGAGCCCCCGGGGTGACAGGGCCAGCTGAGGCAGTCTGCTTCCCTCAGGGTCGGTCACAGCTCAACACGGTCGTGTGTGGTGACGACAGTCTGTTAGTCAGGATTCACGTGACAGCAACGAGCTGTGTTTCCATTAGGGTCCTGGCAGCACGGTGGTTGAAGCACTGGAACGTGACTTGAAGGCTTGGTGGCCCAGATCCACCCAGAAGGTTCGCGGGCGAGACGGCCTGCTGGTCTGCTCCTGTAGAGGACAGTCCAGGGCTCCTGTGAGGGTCACGGTCGCTCAGCCTTCCTGCGTCTTTCCTTTTGCTGTTGTTGACAGCGTCACTCTTGCTCACAGCAGATCCTTGCTTTGTGTTAGACAGGGCTGAGCCCATCTCACTGAGGGTTGGGTTTACAGCACAGTTCGGCTGCGGCCCTCTTTCT